GTGGCTAACAAGAACACTAATCTTGCCCAAGTCGAGTCAGAATTCAACAATGCATATTGGTCAATTAAGTTCACAACTGAAACAGGAGAACTATTGCCTTCCGTTTTTGGATGTTCATCTGACTAAAGACCCCGACAGCTCTATCGAATGAAAAATATATTGCAAAGCAACACGGAGTGGACAGTATACAAATTTTCACAGCTTCGTCCCACTCTATCGAAAACGTAACCCCATACGCAGTTTACTGCAGAGAGCAAGGTGTATCTGTTCATAAGATACTTTGAAGGACGACCTTGAACTAGTGAGAAGAACCTCATGAGAAAATGGCTATCCTGATAAGTTTATCGACAGTAATTGGACTGAACAGAATAGGCCAACAAAATTGCCAAAAGCGGAGAAGAAAATGCTTTTTATAAAAGTTTCATTTAAAGGTGATGCCGTCACTGAAGGGGTCAGTAGAGTTTCATCCTCACCAGTAGAATCTACATTCAATGCTGCACAGCTGAGATGTGTATCCTCTACGTCACCAAACATCCGACGCTACAACAAAGATAAACTGCCTATGTTGACCTCATCTATGGTTGTCTATGAATTCAAGTGAACATGTGGNAGGTCGAACGACAAGGCAGTTATCTCAACGGATCAAAGAACACAATCCACGCTGGCTCACACGGGTTGGGAGTGGAGCTGTGTCGAGCTCGATCGTCGCTCATCTGGTAGAAAAGGGACACTTGGTTGACATGCGCTCAGTATTTACGATCGTCTATCGAGTCTCACCACATCTCTCGCGAGCAGTACGGTTTCAGACGTTAGCACTCGCAGAGGCGATTAGCATCCGACTCTTGAAGCCTGAGATGTGCGCACAACGCAAATTGATTCAAGCTCTCAAACTCCCTTGGCTAGGGGAAGAGAAAATCGCTTGTTCACACGATCATGACGTAACAACATGACGTCACCACTTTGGTTATGTGATCCAAGCGGCGCACAAATTTTGAGTTCTCTTGGGCTCATTACCAAACACATGGCTCATCCACCTTTCTGTTTGACTATAATGAAATTGTTTCATATAAATGTGATTGTGAAGGCTTGAAAAGGAAATCACCGAAAGCATATGTTCGTGTACACTGTGCACTCAACAACAAAATACCCGGAAAATGCATACACGGTTAGATGGTGAATGGCGTATATCGACGAACTACCCCGGTATTGTTGATGCATCCTCAAATCCTCAAATTTGAAATGTGTGAACTTGAGGATGGAATGGTTTTAACTAAGAAGACGTCTGTTTGCCCCAAAATAACATCCATTACGTAACTAAAATATTACTGTGCACTCAACATTTTCACTCGTCTCTAAGTTACGAACGATATTATTAGGACACGATTTTCTGGCAAATCTTCACCGATTACCATTGTTCAACCCCGTATCGAGACTCACCTTCGAGAGCGGTCTCCTCCAGGCGACTACGACCGGTCGTTCCAACAGACTGACTTGTAGTTAATGGTAACAGGATATCCAACACCAAGCTTCCAATTAGTTCTCCCGGCTTCTGTTCTAGCGTGTGACGAATCTTGTAAGACAAAAAAAGGAGCACGTTGACAGTAAATCGATCCCCGCCCGCCCTCTTCCCTCATCCCCATCTCCTCAGGGCG